ACTCAAACTGGCGACCTACAAACCCGATTCAGGGTGTACAACCACAACCACAGGATGGGCCTTGGCTAACTTTTGGGTTTCCCCCTTTCAAACCAACCCGGTTGCAAGACGAGTCCGGTCGTGGTCCTGCACTAGGTGCTGGTCCTTATGGCCCAAGGTCACCACCGAACTGCAGCCTTGCGGGCACTTCAGCTCCAGATTCCTCGGCTCGCCCGTCGGGGCCAGGGTGGCTCAGGGAAACCGATTTACAAATGGTTGCAATCCCTTTCTTTTGGGTGACCCCAAATTTAAGCGTCAGGAGACTCCAGGTAAACGTTGGATGATGTCCTTTAGCCTGGGGCGGGTTAGGTTGGACGTTTTGCTGAAACCTACCACGTAGGTGCTTTTCAGAATGTTAACGCAGTCGCATGGGAAAGGATTGACAAGGTGCTTATTTTTGCTTCTTTTCCCGGGACAAACCATTTGGTTAATCTAACCCGGTGATTCCAATTTACTGGTGTAGTAGTTTCACACCTAAGAAACCCCAAGCGACAACTGATGCTTACCTACTCTAGAGGTGTCACTTGCGTTTCATCATTATTGACTTGTGTTCACCAAGCAGGCGCAGCGAGTCCGGCGTGTGGGAATTAAATGGTCTTCCCAAGAAGTTTAAAGTTCATGAACTCAGGAAGTGAGCTATGGTTACATCACATTTGAACCTTTGATGAAGGCGAATGAACCTTACCCGACCCCCGAACAAAAATCTCACAGGGGTTCCCTTTGCCTCGCCCTGAATCTATCCGTGTTCCTTGGGAGGGTGGTGACTCTCCCCTTTGGAAGGGGCACGTGGCCTAGAAATCATCCCAAGGTCGAGTTGCTGCTACAAGCAACAATGAACCTACCTGGACCCTCAAAAACCCATTCACCGCATAATTATGGGTGCAACAACCCATTTGTAAGTTGGTATTTTGATGCTCCAGGTATTTCCTGGATGAGTCAAGGGCCCTTCGAGTAAACCCTGTTGGGTCTCCTTGAGCTAACTTTTTGGCGATAGCATCAGCCTATGCTGATTGCGGGGCCCTTTCCAAACGCCCTTGCCGACCATAGAATCTTGAACGGCTCGCGCATCGGTCAGTGCTCACTGGGCTATGTCATGGCTATGTCTTGGATGCCGTGAATTCCACCACGAGTGCGAAGAGAGCGCAAAAAGCCACGCGACAGGTCCGGTGGACACAAAAGGAATATCAAAGCTTCGATGGGTTGCTTAGGGTTCTCACCCAACCTTAAGGTACGGTGGATGCCCCTGCCGTATTGCAACGGAGCAAGTTGCAAACCCTGTAGATTCCAATGGTTTGTGGTTGATTTACTTGCGTGGCCGGAATCGGCATCCACCGTCACGATCTTGTCTCGACGTTCACGAAAGTGGTAATTGCACCCGATATCAATATACTTCATATAAATACACGAAGTTGTGGCTTCTGTCATAGACAACCATCATGCAAGCACCCCTTAACACAAGCTTGATTTGCCTTGTTGGGCGCAATCTTCCCAGGTAAAAAATCAAACTCTGGAATCGCAGGAAGTCTGAGGAAGCTTTGCCAAGCCCCCTGAACATTTCCTGCCGAGGCGCCGAATCTCTTTCCGGTCCTTGTTGGAGGGATCAGCGCTCTTGGTCGCTTCCCGGCAGTGAGGGCACTTCTCTTCACGCTGCTGGCATTTCACCTGACACGTTGATCCACCCAGACATGTCGCTGGCAAAGAAGTACTGGACACCGCGCCCCAATATTTGCCATGGTTTACGCTTGTTTCGGACATCAATCAGATTTGGCTTTGGGTGTGAGGATTTGGCCGCTAACTGGGGAGAAAATACCTTCCAAGATTGACACACGCTCTCCCGAGCAATACAGCCTGAAAATCTAAAAATGAGGCCCAGTGACCACAGGCGAGCTGTCCCTTTGGCTTCCCCTTCTATTGTTTCAAAGCCTAGGATTCATCAATCAATGTTGGCGCAGTTTGTTGGTTGTTTCTTTCTAAAATAATCGGGTTGTCCTCCCAATTTGGAAACTATCCGGATCACTTTTGGCGGGCCCTGGCAGCCTGGCGGGGACATGTTTTTGGGTTCAAACTACGGCTGCCCGGAGGGAACCAGAACTGGCTGATTTGACAGGATGAATTCACACCGAGGTTTGATTCACTTTGGGTGTGTACTACATTTCCAGGCTCATATTATGTATCTTATCAACGAACATCCCTTTGGATGCTCTTCAAACACAAACCGGTTGATTTGCTTAACACACCCTTCCAGCGCCTTTCTGAGGACATCCACCTTCCCCTTCCCAGCTTTATGGGTTTGCCAGGAAAACATTCCTTCGGGTGCGTTTGTTTTGTTTGTTGACGTTGACGTTGGTCTTCCCTGTGGCTACGGCCAAGCAATGTGATCCGCCCCAACGCCCCTCGGGACGGGTTGCTGCAAATGTAAATTACTGCGCAGGCTTCGCTAGTGTTTTGAGACATTGGAGGGCTTGAGCTCCGACTGGGGTCCCGGTAAACTCGGCTACGGAAAGCAAACTCCGAACACCCTAAACCTTAACCCCAAAAAACGGAAAGCCCTGAACCTAAACCCTAAGCTCAACAGGTCCTTTCATTCGACACGCATGGATTGGGGTTGTGGTTCGGCCCTTTTGCGAACACCCCCCCGAAAACCCGACGGAGGCGCCCAGCAGATCTCACAGAAGAGCTCCCCGCAACAGGCGGGCGACACCACGTCCCGCGCCACACACTTGCAGATCCTCAGCTCGGACTCCAGCGGACGCCGGATTCGAGCGAGGCCCCGAGCGTTCAAGTACAGGTCCGAGAGGTTGACAGCCCAAGGGAGCCAGTCCCAGGGTTTTTAGCTTCCAGTCAAAGCTGATCAGTCCGGCTGGACATGAACCAGGTAACCTAGTTTTGGTGGTGAGCCAGCTCATTCCAACCTGGAGCCAATTGCTCGGTACCAACTTCCGCAATGTGGAACTTAGGACAAGTGGATATGTGTCAAAACAGGCAACGGTGGAGCTTTATTGTTGCTTTCAGCCTGAAAAGAGTAATTATTAGCAAACACACGCAACCACACACACAGACAAGTCCTCAGCGACAAGTAGGTGCCGGAATTCCTCTCGCCCAAAGATTCCGAATGAATCAACTTTCGGTTCCAAGCGTCATGCACTCCCACTTGACTGCAAGCGCCGGATCGAGCCACTCCTCATCATATCCACCATCATGGAGTTGAGAAGTGGGGACGACCTCGGGCACTTGGTTTATTGATCAACATGAATCGAGCCTTCAAATGAGCCTCATCCCCACGCAAGCGATGTGCACGTGTTGGGGGTTCACTGTCACAGGGTAGATTTCTTCATGAAGCTCGTGTCTGCCTCATGGGAGCTACCTCGCTTTGATTATTCTACAAGCTGGTTGGTCAAACTGACCCCTGCTATAAGTTGATCTTGTTATCAGCTAGCGATGAACCGCTCTCTTCTTCTACAAGTCCTGGTGAGGGAAACTAACAGCAGCCATGTTTGTCCTGGTTGGCAACGTTTCGAGGCCCGAAGTAACACTGAATAACTTTACGATTCCCACTATCCAATGCAAGCGGAGTTGACCCAATGGAGGACCCGGTCCTTCCAGTGACCACTAAGTAAGCCATCGATTTTCTTGCCTCGTTTTACATGATGGTTCCCCTGGTCACTTCCAATAGTGGTACTCGTACATGACTGGAAGCACTGGAGTCAAGAGAAGTATTGTTCATATGTGGACCCTTGATTCAAGTTGAGGTTTTGCTTCCCTTGGAACACATTGAAGCTCCAACCACCAAACCTGGGGGTGGACAAGTTAGTGAGCTGCCCAAAAAATGGTGACGACTCCTCACTATGGTATCTTACAAGTCCGGGCAAACCACAACTAATTTCGCCATTCGAAAATCAGGGGTAGCTCTGAAGGCAGCCCTCCTCATGACTCACCCCAAGTGGGTTCCAGCCCAGGTTAGCTGGCTGGACATCTCCCCGCCTCATGCAGAGACCGCACGCTGCGCGCTGCCCGCATGGCGAGCCCCGAGCTCTCCCTTGAGCCACGAAGGCACCGACTTAGGGTGACCCCAACATGGCGTTTCAAGCTTCCCTTCAACTTCGATTGAAGCTCCCAAAAAAAGGTACCGCTGCAGCTCCACAAAACAAGCAAACCCAATTCACCTGGCTGAAGTCAGGGGCAAACCCAACAACAACCTTCATGATGCCCAGGAACTTGCTCCCGGCATTCCACTCAGTTCCTCGCAACACGTCGTTAGCGCGGCTCGCAACTTTTGAGTTGCAGTCCTTTGCAATGAGAGAACCTGAACCTTGTAACCATGTGCCAGGAAAAGGAAAGCGAGGGTACCCACTCGGAGAGAAGGGCGGGCATCGAATGGTGTGGAAAACGTGGCTCTGGGTTAGCATCCGGTTTGCTTCTCAAAGCATTCAAACCCATGGCCAGAACGAATGACAAATCAGCCATTCGAAAGGGTCGTAGAATCTCATTCGAAATGAGCTCTAGGGCAATTTGAAACCAGGTATCCTTTGGGCGAAATGGATGTCTATGATCAGGAACCAACAAGCAATGAAACCCAAGGATTCACTTACCGACCTTAACAAAAAGACACCTGTGGATGGATAAAACTCCTGCACCAGCTGGTAGGAGTATTCATGGCGCTTCATCAAACCCAGTTGTCGCAAAGTGGAATTTCATCCACACTGTACAGGGCTGCCCATATTCCCCTTCAAGCATCACCCAAACAAAACCTCACCTCAAATTGGCCAAAGGGGTGGTTCAATGACAAGCAACTTCGAAATCACTTCTGGGCTGCCCTCAGATCCTCCGCTAAAAGTTTGACTTTTAGTGAGACAAATGGAAACTACCACTAAACACTAAAAGGCGAAAAGGCTAAGGGGATGGCTGAGAGCCACCCAGACTTGTGGCCAAACCTCAGATAGAAGCAGAGCTGAGCCACAGGCACATGGCAATCCAGGATGTCGTGCAATGTGATCACCACCACCTCCTTCTGCTCGGGACCTGAATCCAACGCGACCCATTTTTGCTTTTTCACCACACACCCAAGAAGATCTGCACGAAGCCCCCCCAAAAAAAACCGAAGGGGGTACATCTGCTTTTTTTGGACCCCCGCCTTCAGGGAAACCTGAAGTACACACTTCCACCTGAAGGTGCTAAGGAGACCAACTCGATGGCTTGTGGCCTGTGGGTTGCCCTCCTAACAACCAAACTTTGAAACAGAGAAACCGATTGAAACCATTCGCAAACTTTCTACCTCAGGATTTCAGATTATGTTAGCCAAAAGCAGCCCTAGTGATGGATGACCTGCATCTCAGGTTGCCGCGATACCATCCTACCTGCATGGCACCAATTTGTTTGGCAAATCGCGAAGCGATGATCGATTCTGTTACGTTTAGCTGTGTGCTCCAAGCACTTGCTGACTACCCCGCCCCTTTGAAGGTAAGTGCTGTGGGAGCCCGCAAAATGGACTGCTCATCCAATTGGAAGGTCTCTAGCAAGGCGAGCACGGCATGATAGCTGAGTTGTTTGCCCACGATTCGTGTTTGATCTCCCACCAATCCCTAAGCTGTTTCTCTCACTTCCTGAATTGGCCCAAAAAACGTCCATTTCTGATTTGCCGCGTGTGAATGGCTTTCCCAAGTCTCAAAGCCTCGAGTCCAATGGGGCGCGAACTCTTGAGCGCGTCGACCAGCACAGGCCTGGGCCCAGCATTCGAAAGTCCCTTACGTCGGGATCACGTAAACCCAAAGGTTTTGTTGGGGACTCGGGCCAGTTTTCCGGTCAACTGGGGAAGAAAAAAGTAAAGGAACCGGAAAAAGGTGGACTCATGTTCACCGAGAGCTTGGAATGTGTCAGATCCGGATTCCCTTTGCCGTAGCTCCGGGAGGGACTTGCGATCGAGTTTCCGCCCAAAGGGCCAGTCGATTTGCACCTCTCACTTACCAGGACCTGAAACCAGAAGGTGAACCTTTGGGAACTAAAAGTGGACTAAAAAGGGAAAGCCAAAAGGCGAGATCCGGTTGATTCAGCTGGGCCGACTGAGATACAAGTCCAGTGAGTGAGTATTTTACCCAATCACGAGTCCGCAAATTGTCCCAGATCTTGAGTCTGCGGAACCCAGTTGAAACATGTTTTCTGTGGAAAACAAGACACAGAGTGCAAGCCAGCTAGATATGGGGAAGTGCTTCACTTGCAAAGACCACCCTATTCATCTGCAAGGTTTGCACATCAGGAAGATTTTGAATTACTCACCCCCTTTAAAGGGGATGCCAAAAAGGGCACCGAGATGCCCCGAGTTTTGACCCCACCCCCCTCGCCCCCATTACCAAGCAAGCCTGCTGCCAACCAAATTCTCCCTCACACATGGCTTGGTGCATGTTCGGCGCTTGAAGAAGACCTTCCTTCTGATAGGGGATGTGCTCTGAGGCATAGTTGTGTTTGGTTTCGTTTTGGTTCCGTTTGAAGACCTGCGGCGCTCTTCATTTTGATTCTCTTGACCGCCAATCGGTCGATCGATCATCACTCGATGCCGCACTATCTGCAAAATGGCAAGCCATGATGCTGTTGCCCTCTAGGTGGAAATGGAATAGCCATTCAAAGAAGGCTTGGGTAGTTGGGTGGTTGGGTGGTTGGGTGGTTGGGTGGTTGGGTGGTTGGGTGGTTGGGTGGTTGGGTGGTTGGGTGGTTGGGTGGTTGGGTGGTTTAGGTGTGTTGTTTACTACTAAGGGGCCTTTGAGGCACCAAAGACCAGCCATCTTTGGCCAAAGAGTTGCACCGAGATCCCTTCGGATGCGCAAACAGACCCCACCTCTCCCATCCCGCTTTGCGAGACACAAAATGTGGCAATCCTTGGGCCAGTGTCTATGAACTCGAAGCCCTGAACCACCTTGATCAAGATACTGACAGATTCCCCCTGCCTTCAGGGGGAGGTCGTTGGAGTCTCCCCACTCCATTGTTCTAGTCTCCACCAAAGAAGGGAAAGGGAACCAGAAATGGAATTCCGGTGCCAGGAAATTACCAAGGGCCTCATGCAACGCCCAAAGAAGGGGCAAGGAACCTTCTCAGAAGGGATTCTTCGGGTTCTAAGAACCTTTCTGTTAAAGGGGCCTTTTGGGCTCAGGCGCTGGTCGCGCTGGGCAAGGATTCCACGCCTTGGATCCTCTCGGTGGCTGCTTCGCAGCACGCTCGGATTTAGCTTTAGGAGAGCCATCCACACAGATCAAGCCGGCACTCCCGGACCAAATGGGTTCTTTGAAGCTGGGGTCACATACCCTGTGGAAGGGGGTTTTCTGGCGGTTAATCACAAGGGCCTTTGCACTGGATGACCATCATTGGAAACCACCCAAAAGACGACTTTCCCACATGGAAAAAGTGTTCTGCTCATTTGGGGGCCACGGATTTGACCCCCATATACTGCGGAGCTACAATTTAAAAATAATATACATACCGAAAGACGCATTCAACACGACATTTGCCTGTCTGGACCCTCAAACGAAGGAAACTCACCCCATAATTTTGGGTTGCAATAACCCTTGTGTTAAGGGCATTTGGAGGAAACAGGCGCACTTTGCTGACCTCATGTTCTGTGTTCTGGAAAAGAGCTTTTTCACTTCGCTTTCTTGCTATCGCAGAAGCGGCGGGGCTGTCACGAGAAACGCAGAGGGATTTTCACCAAGCTGAGTACTGCAGCTGTAGGAATATCGCTACAACAGGAAAGTAGTAGAATAAACATCGTCCTGGTAAGAGCTGATGTGGTACGCGGCTACTTACACAATGGCCATGCACAAAACGCCCGGCGTGTAGGTCCAGTAGATGACACTTCTAAGTCATGTTCAGTAGCGAGTAAGTAAACAGGCAAACCCCGCAAGGCTCCCCTGGTGGGGCAACAACCGTGGTCCAGGACAACGCAGTAGTCACAGGGATCCAGTGTCGAGTGAGGGGTGGGAGGCGGGGAGCTATTCCTGAATAAGCCAAGGATAAGCCAAGGATAAGACAAGGATAAGCGAAGGATAAGCCAAGGATAAGCCTTCAATAAGGCCTTATAGTTACGGTCTTAATAATTTATAGGTGATAGCCAAAGCCCCCAACCAGTTCACTCCCGCGGAAATCCCTGCAAACAGTATTCGGGCTCTTTGTCTGCATACTTCTCAGGCTGGCCACAAGCGACCACATAGTACAGCAATTAGGTCGATACGTGTTGCGCGCAACCAGACATGACAGAAACTTCATGGAATAGACATAGCCGTCCTTTACAAATGTACGACTACCCATGGCCAAGCTCTGGATCCAGATACGGCAAGCGGCTTGCGGCTCACAGGTCTAACCCCGAAGGAATCCGTCGGATTCCGTGGAAGTGGCTGGAGGGCACCAGACCTCTTTGCAGGTCCTTTGTCATGTACGGTCCGATTGGTGCAGAGTTGCTCCTTATTTGTCCAACGCGTGTGAGTGCCTTTTTGCATGTGAGTTATGCTCTTGGTATGTTGCCAACTGCCCTGCCCCCTCAACCCTCCAAGCTGCAATCAGTCTTGAAGAATCTGATGAGGTCGTCCCAGCCAGTCTGTTGCCTCAGGTCACAAGCCAAGGGGATCGGCTACGTTTGTGGGCAAGTGGCGCAATGGCCAGGTTAGAACCCACAGGATTTATGCCGACCCTCCCACCAACGGTCAACACAAAGCCCGTCTGATGGAGTTCACATTGTCAAGTGACCAATCAATTGCTGTGGCTCAACGCACGCCCTCTCCCCACATTTTCCCTCGCCAGCGAAATCGACACATCACGTTTTTTCATCGTGGAGATTTGAACACTCTTTAAAGCCAACCAGAAGCTTGTTTGTGCCCCAACAGCAATGGGGTAAACCCGCCAATCCTGGTTCGGGCAGAATTCAGATTATTGGGGTTCCGCGGAGTACTCCGCCAAAATGAAAAAGGAACATGATCGTGACCACGGGGTTAGCCCGAAAATGTAGGGTCCTAAATCTGACGCTTAGGGAAAGGCTCCGGGCCTTGGAACACTTGTCTCAAAGGCGTAACCCCAAAGCCCGGACATTTTGGACCAAACCTGCAAAGCCCTAGCCTTTCAAAGAAGCGGTTTAACTGGGTTGGCGGAACCCTGCTTTGCCCTGTGGGGTGTGGACTTCCTGCAACAGTTGTCTCAAATAAAGTTTGCGGTTCCAACTCATTTCCTGAGAACCTAGAGCCAGCTGGTATGCCCCCCCAAAAAAAGAAACCTTGCTAACAACTCGCAAAACCCTGCCCAAGATGAGGCTCAACATCTGTTACTAGCACATCCTTTGTTCTGCTTGGGGTGAGACAGCCAGTGCATCATGTTTTGACCTGACGTGGGGCTGTCATGTTGAGGCTCAGTACCCTTTTTGGGGGTTGGTTTCAAGGGATACCACTTCAAGGGATACCACTGGGAAAATCCACCGGTCCAAATCCTATTTTAAGACACATGTTCTATGCTTTTTGTTGAAGGGGAGCCCCGGAAACCACATATTTCGGGGAACCCCGTATGTTGACACATACCCAAAGTACAAACCTGAGTTCCGCGCAGCAGGGCGTAGGCCCAGTCGTAGATCCGCGGGAAAGCTGTGCCCAGTATGAACAACAGCCGCACCTCGCGAAAAGACGACTTCTTGAAAATGGATTTTGGACCCCCCTTTTTGGTGGCTGCGGGGCAACAATAGGTACTTACCCAAAATGGAACCCTGGTAAATGGAACAAAGGATAAAACCAGCAGTCCCCTGGTGGCTGAATTTTTGACCCATACCTATTTAGAGGGAACCGACAGGAAACCGAAACGTTTTGGTTGGGAACCAGAAGGAAACCGAAAAGCCATGTTGGGGGACGATTTTGAGAAGTTGGGGGACGATTGTGAGAAACCCCCACCTGGCTTCCTCGATCTGGGGTTATGCCAGAAGTCCATGGGTTCATGCCCTGATCATTGCAGGGAAGCCGCCAAACAAGCAAAGTTAAACCCGCGTTCAACGGATTGCCGGAAGCCTCTGATACCTTGCACAACCAAAAGGGGCCGGTGATCCCCAACGTCAGTGTGGTTCATTGGATCCATGGGTTTGTCTCTCTTGGGACCCCTCCGCCCAAAAAAGGGCTGGTTTCCCTCTACGCGCAGTGGATCCTGGCTCGGTAAGGGACGCATGTCGCTAAGGAAAAAACCCTTGGGTTCCTGGAAAGTTCACCTACGTTGAAGGGAACGCAAAAGCAACCAACTCGGAAAGACACAGGTCCCTTAGCTGCCAAGGGAATCGACCAAGGGAATCGCTGCCCGATCTTCGCCGGGCGGCGGGCACCGAGTTCACCTCAGTCGCCCCAGAGGTGGGCTTTGCCTTTCCCCAATTTCTCGTGAAGTTTCAAGCCAACGACGCCAAACATACCATGCGTGTAGAGGCACGCTGGCCCGTCCTTCTCAGAAATTCATGTTGCCTACATGTGTGACGGACCCCCCCCAGTAGATCTGCTTGTGCTTCCGTTTGTTTTTTTCAAAACTGGGGCTGGTTTTTACTACTAGTTGTTCTTGGGGCTTTCAATTCCCTGGTGTTACCTGGACCAGGGCCTTCGAGTTGGGGGCAAGAGTAGCCTCAGTTTTCTGCTGGGGGCCTTTGCCAAATTGGCCGCGCCCCCAGCATCACCAGCCTCAAATTGACTGTTGGCTATGGAAGTTGCTCGGGCCTAGTTAAACTGGG